AAAATACAAAAAATTAAATTTCAGCTGGCTCTTAGTCAAGGGATCATAATTCAAGGTACTTCAATTTGAATGACTTTTGATAGTTTCTCCCTTTCTATTTGAGTACTATTTTTTCTCTCCATTGCATGGAAGTATACAAGTTAAATGTGAAGAGAGCCAAGTCTGTGTGTGTGTTGGTCAAGGGTGGAGAAAAAGAAGGAAACTAATGAGTTTAATCTAATAGGGTAGATAAAATCTTATTATTACTATGTTACTGACCTAAAATCATCTGAGAGAAACACAAAGATTTCTTATGAGATGGACCCAGGCACCATTTCTAGAGTTGGTCAACCTTAGGTTAATTCCATTCTCTATATTCCCATTCTGTTCCAAGCCAAAAAAATGACACGATTTCCTGGTGAATATAAACAAATGTGGCTGTCCATAACTAAATCAGGAAAACACATTTACCCCAACTTATTATAATCAGCATATACAGAAATTATAGAGCAGCAGTTCTCAACCTGTGGGTCGCGACCCCTTTGGGGGTCGAACGATCCTTTCACAGGGGTCGCCTAAGACCATCGGAAAACACATATATAATTACATATTGTTTTTGTGATTAATCACTATGCTTTAATTATGTACAATTTGTAACAATGAAAATACATCCTGCATATCAGATATTTACATTACGATTCATAACAGTAGCAAAATTATAGTTATGAAGTAGCAACGAAAATAATTTTATGGTTGGGGGTCACCACAACATGAGGAACAGCATTAGGAAGGTTGAGAACCACTGTTATAGAGTTATGAACTAAAGGCTAATCTTACCTATGAATTTGATGCAAAATCTTAAAATATTAGGAAACTGAACAAAAAATATATTAAAATAATAAAACATCATGACTAAGTGATATTTATTTCAGCAATTTAATGTATTATATAAATCATAGTAATTCAACTAAAAAGAACAAATTTACACAATCATTTCAAAAGGTACTAAAATAATATTTGCTAAAATTCAACATCCATTTGAGATGAAAACTAGAGTTGACCCTGTTAGAGGCACCTACCACCTACCTATGCTGTGGAAATTTGGCACATAACTTAAGTAGGTCCTCCAAATTTTTGAATTCCCATTCACCAGTTGACTCTTGAACAACACAGGTTTGAACTGCTTGGGTCAATTAACAAAAAATCTTCATATAAGTGAACCTATGCAGTTCAAACATTATTCAAGGGTCAACTGTACTTTTAATAAAATATGATTAGTTGGTTATTTCCTTGAATTGATTAAATATATCTGGGTCAATCCAGGAGCCAGCATAATGCTTAAATGGGAAAACATTATTTTCATTAATGAGATGCCTTCTCATTAAAGTTAGGAATGTAATAAGGAAACCATTACCACTATTTTTAAAAAAATATGTTTTTATTCATTTCAGAGAAAGGGAGAGGGAGATAGAAACATCAATGGTGAGAGAGAATCATCAATTGGCTGCCTCCTATAAGCCCCCTACTGGGGATCGAGCCCACAACCCGGGCATGTGTCCTGACTGGGAATTGAACTGTGACCTCCTGGTTCATGGGACCATGCTCAACCACTGAGCAACACTGGCTGGGCCATTATCACAATTTTTATTTAATATTGTTTCTGGAGATTCTGGGAACCAAAGAAACTAAGGAAACAATAAATTAGAGGTACAGAACTTCTAAAACAAGCAGTAAAATTATCATTATTTGCACATGCTATGATTGTATATTTTGGGGAGGACCCAGAACTCACTGTAAGATTTCTACAAGCAAAGATAATTCAGTAAAATGGATAGGTACAAAACTATACAGAAATCAACAACTTTCATATACACAACCAAGAGTAGCAAAATAAAATGGAAATATCTTATTTACAATAGCAACAAAAACTAAACATCTAATATCTAAATATGTAATAATAAACTTAACAATAAATATCCAAAAGCTATTTGACATAAAGTTCAGAATGTCCCTGAGAATCACAATAAAAGATATGAACAAATAAAAAAAGTCAATTCATATCATAAGGTTGTAAATTCTTTCAAGTTAGTTTGTAAACTTAACTCAATCCATACAAGTACTTGTAGGATTTTTTTGGTGGAAAAGATAGACAAACTGATGCTAAATTCATATAGAATACAGAACAAGCAAGAAGAGCCAGACAATGTTTAAAAGAGAAGATCAATAATGGAATACTCTTTCTACCTGATAGCATAATACACAGATATATATATACACATTAAATTAATTAAAACAGTGTGGTACTGACACATAACAGACAACTCAATAAAATATAATAAATAGCATGGAAATCAGTCCAAGTACAGGGATTTGATATATGATAAAGATGTCAACTCACAGAAGAGAGGAAAAAGATGAATTATTCACTAAATTATTTTAAGATAACCAGGGAGACATATAAAAAAATAAGGTTGGATCTTTGTCTCATATTTTACTGGTATACTAGGAAGAAAATATAAATATTTAAATGTAAAAAAATTTAAAAACAAGAGACTAAAAGAAACTGTAAGAAAATTCCTCTGTAAACTTGGATGAAGCTTTTTCTGAACTATTATATATAGCCCAGAAGCCAGAAAGTGAGAAATTGCTTACAACTACTAGATAAAAATAAAAATTTTATATGACAAAACCACCATAAACAAAGTTAAACACTAACAAGAAACTGGGAAAACTATTTATCATTCAAAAGGCTAAATTTTCTATCTACCAGAGTCCCTACATATCCTTAAGAAAAATACCAACAACCCAACAGACAACTAGATAAAGAACAGAAACAATAGTTCACAGAAAAGGAAATATAAATGACTATGAAAAGATGCTCAATTAGATTGGTAAAGATTTAAAAAAAAAGGGGGGTGGGGGATTGGGTAATAACCCGTTTAGTGCCAGTATAGAAACAGCACTCTCACACTCCAACACCCCTTTGATGGAGGACAATTGGGCAAGATCAAAATTCTCAATTCACATGTCCTTGTTCCAACATTTCCATTTCTAGGAATTTATCCTGCAGATAAACTCACGCATGTGCCAAATGACCTAAGTTCTTAATTATTGTGCACTGTTTGCAATAGCAAAAGTCTTGAAGTGACTTAAACTCTCCATCATGGGGGACTGGCTCCATCAGTTATGGTGCATGTGCACACCGGAATACCGTGTAGCTATAAAACAAAGCTCTTTATGTACTAATATGGAATGACCTCCACAATAAAACCAAAAGTATAAAAAAAGTGTGTCCAATATGCCAGTATGCTACTATTTGTGGGGGAAAAGAATATAATATGTACATTTGCTTGTGTGTTTATAAATTCTACCTGAAAGGAAGCCCAAGAGCCTGATAATAACATCTGCCACCAGTGGTAGGATCTCATGGCTCCAGGACAGGGAAGGGAGAAAGGACATTCTGTGCCTGCTATTTTGAGCCATGTGGATTTTGTGTATTATCTACACAGAAATGCACAACACATTAAAGTTTATGATGGGATAAAAGGGCGCAGTTATATTTCAGTCTGTCCATGCTTACATCTGAGCTTGGCTGAAAATGAACTCTCTTGTTAATCTACAGGGTGTCTCAAAAAATGTGCACACACTTTAATAGCTGCTAGCTCAATTTTGAAAATGAAATGCCTTTATAATTATTCAAAGTGCATTTTGGGGGGGACACTCTATATATAGCTTTTTGACTAAGGCATCTCACAGAGAAATAATTTTTTGCTTGAAAACCTAAGTTCCCAAATAAGAGTTAAATAAGAAAATAAAACATCAAAAAAATAAAGAAAAACAAAGTTGCTCAACAACAGGAATAGTAGAATCAGTTTGTTTAAAGCAATCAAACAAATATCAACAACAAAAACCGAAACCATGTGAATGTTTAAACTGTCTCAAAGATATATACCAAAACTTTGTTGAGGAGGAGGGGATGAGAGAATACATTACTGTTTTTGTTTTAAAGCTATTTCTATATTGTTGAATTAATCAGATTATTTAATGTATTAATTAATTTTATAATTTGAAAAATTATAAATAGATTTAAATCTAAAAAGCCTAAGGTTCAATCGGTAACCAAATATAAATAAACATGTTTAAGCTAGTAATAAGAAGAAATACAAGTTTAAAAGGCACCATTAAGAAAAAACTTTTTTCAGTTAGAGTTTACATTCAATAGTATTTTGAAGCACCATTTTTAGACCAGTAAAATAGCAATATTTAAAATATGTAATACTCGATGCAGAGTGTGGTGAAAAGGTACTTTCATACATTAGTGGGGGAATATAAATTGGTACCTTTCCCATGTTTTAATTGAAATTTACAATCCACAGTTGTAAGAAATAACACAGAGAGATCCCATGCATCCTTTACCCATAGGTCCTCTTTTTAAAGAGCAATTTGTCAGTGTAAGTGGAGAATCTTAAAAGTATTCACATTTTCATCCAAAAATCCCATTTCTTGGAACCCATCCTAAAAAAGTAATTCAAAGGAAAGAAAAAGCTATATGCATAAAAATGTCCACCCAAGACCATATATAAAATATAAATATGTTCATATATATAATTTATACATACATATATAAGTTAAACCATAAAGAATCAGTTCATTAAATAACATAACCACTAGATAGAATATTTTATAGCCATTAAATCACATTTATGTAGACGGTGAGGCAATTGGCTTAATACCTATAATATAATGTTTAATTTAAAAAGGCACAAAATTTTATGTCCAACTTAGTAAAAAATATGCATAGATGGACAATAAGGGGAACTTGGTGGATTTCTGGTTAACTCTCTCTTCAAAACTTCCTATAACGTAATTTCAAATCTAATTGTTTCATATTTTTTCAAATTCCAGTTTCCTACTTTTGTCAGACTTTAATTTGAGGAGCAAGACGAGGTAAAAGATGCTGTTTATGAACCCAACAATGTTAACTAACTGCCCGCCATGAGCTGTGGACGTGTGTCACTTACTTGCATCTGGCTCTGGAGGAGGCGGGGCCCTCTGCCCCAGCCGCGCGCTGTCCACAGGCTGCACCTTCCCCTTGGGGATGCTAAAGAGGTCACGGAAGTCCTTTCTTTGCCTGGATTCTTGGAGAGAACCCTCAGAAGATTTGTCTCTGAGTCTGAGGGAGGAAAAGAGTGCGATTTTCCTCTTTGGAGTCCTAGAAGCATCCGGAAAGGTCTCTTGCAAACTCACTTTCTCCAGGAGTTTGGGGACATCTTCCATCTTGCTGCAGGGTGGGGGCGCCAATCCAGGAAACATCTTGGAGGGCCGGTTGGGCAAACTGTGGGTGCGGAGGGCAGGGTCGGGAAGGCCAGGGGTGGAGGGCTGGGCAGCCCTGGCAGGCGGGGTGCCCAGGGAGAAGAAGGCCGAGGCCCTGCTGGCCATGTCTCTCCCAGGGGACTGCTGGTCCCAGTCTTTATTGCCGCTGGGTTTCCGAAGGCTGAAGGAGCGCGTGCAGGCTTGTGGCTGGCTGGTGGGCAAAGCCCTGGATTCTGGCTTGGCCCAGGCCTTCCTCCCGCCTTCGGAGTTGGAGAGGAGGGGCTCCAGGAGGGACCTTCGGAGGGCATTGGCAATGAGTCTCAGCGGGGACCTGGGTGGAGCCAGGCTTCGCTCCTCTGGAGTCCTTCCAGCGGGGGTCCCCCTCTTCTCCGGAGCCTCTGCCTGAGCTGGCAGGGTCTCTCTCGCCGCCCGAGGGAGCACCAAGGGGCGGACTGGCTTCAGCACTCGGCCTCCTCTACCATTCTCAGCGCTTTTCTGAGAATGGCGCGAGCTCTGGGGGTTGAAGTCATTCCAATCCAGCAACTTGCTCTTCTGCTCCTGGGTGAGGGCCAGCTTCTTCAAGCCCAGCTTCTTCCCCTCTGCCAGCTCGGACCCACCCTCCTCTCCCGTCTGGGTCTGGGAGCCCATTTGCCCTTCTCCCGAGCCCCCAGCAGCCCTAGGAGACAGCTCTTGGTCTGGCGAGCACCCGCCCTTCCCTCCAATGGGGTGTGGGCCTCTGTGGGTGCCACTGGTGTCCTGACAGCCATTGGGAGCCATCGCTGCCGGGCTGGGGGTCCCGGGGCTGGCGAGGCCCTCTCCACCCGGCCTCACCAGGCAGAGCTCTGTCCGCTCCAGCACCTGGCCGTGCGGCAGGTAGAGAGGGATTTCGTTGGGTGCTCCGTGGGCCCTGGCTCGCCTCAGGAAGATTGGGGTGGAAGGACTGAAATGACCTCTTGAGACCTGCGGAGCAAAACATAGCCGTGGTTTCAAAATTGCCAGCGTGTAAGATGGGGAAGGCACACCTCCGTCTATAGCCCCCTCCCTCCCTGTCTCCAGTCGAAAAGAATTCTGCCTGGAATGACTGATTTCTGAGGGCAGCTCTTCACTCAGATGGCTACCCTGGGGCCTGCTGGGGTCTGCCTGGAGCCCCCGTGTCAGCATGGGCCGAAGGCTTTTCTGGGTCTTGGGTCAGGTGGGTAGGAAGCCAAAGGTGAGGCACAGGCATTGGCCAGCTCCTGGGCCCGTGACGGTAGGGCGGTCAGGCACAGAGGGGCAGGGTGCCCCAGGGCTTGCTCAGTCATGTCCCTACTAACGGGCACCTCCACCCACAGGTGTGTTCCTCCAACTACCCAGAACCAAGGCTTCTTCCTCCGCATGGCGCCTCCTGAGGGAAGGGGAGAGCTACCCTTCGGGGGGTGGGGGGGGGAGGCCTGTGGGGCAGGATGGCCGTGAGGACCTTCCAGTGCCTTTTCTAAGCCTGATTCCTGCCTGCGCGGCTGCGAAAGGGCCTTTGCCAGCAGGCAGGGCAGGGCCCATGGCAAAGGGAGCCCACAGGGGGCCCAGGAGGGCAGGGCCCAGAGTGCTAGCAGCTCCCCAAGCGCATGGGCCCCGCTGTCCCGTGCTCTCTGGTCCCCTGGGCCTGGAGCGGGGTCTGCAGGTCAAGAGGCCTGACACACGGACTCCTGCTGAAGGAATGAGTCCAAACCTGTGTTTTCGGTGACGTCATGTTCGAGTCCAGGGAAATGTTGCCTCCAAGGTTCTCAGCTCCTCCCCAAGGCACCCCAGGGTCTGCGCCTGCCCCCCAGCTGCCGGCTCCTCGGCCCCTGGGGGGACCTCCAGGGCCCAGCATATATGCTAGCATCTCTGTGCCCCACAGCCCAGCCCAGGCGCCACACTCCGTAAAGTCTGCTGAGTGAGCGAGCCAGTGGCTGTGCTGGAGGGGGAGGGGGGCGGGGGCTGAGAAGCCGCAGGTGAGCTTCTATGGAAGGGACTTGAGAGGGGGCCGGGGTGGGCTCTTGGCAGTGCATCTCTGGGCCCTGGCTCTGCGCGGGGTGCCTGAGGGTGCTGAGTGTGGAAGTGGGAGGAGTAGAGGCAGCTCACTTTCCCACTGGGGGGGGGGGCACTGAGGGGTGCTTACCTGAGGTGGGGGGGAACCCCCCAGAGCACTGCCTGAGGAGGACGCGGGGGAGGATGAGGCAGGAGACAGGGAGGAAGGAGAAACGGAAGGGGACGCTTCCCTGGGCGGCGACACAGTTCTTGTGTTGTTCACTGGCATGGAACCTGCCGAGGAAAGAATGCATTACAGAGGGGCACGGCCTCACTTCCTCAGGGACAGAAGAGGCTGTAAGTGACGCCCGACCCTGTAAATGCAGAGGGAGGAGGATGTCAGAGGTAGATTTGGGCCTGATGCCACGGACTGGAGAGGAGGGATGGTGTAGACGCGGTAGCGCCTGTGGGGGAAGGGTGGGACCTGAGAACCATGTGCTTCTCACCCACGTAAGGATGCTCCCGCGTGGTGAGACAGGAAGCCCGGTGTTTCTTAGAAGCGGACACAGCCGCCAAGGTTCCCCTAAAGCCACGTGGCTGGAGGCTGGGGCTCAGCCAACAACCCGCCGAGGCCTCTGCCCACGCGCTGCGGACCGTCAGCCGGGCACAGACAGGGCAGGCGCCACTGCTAATGCAGCCGCTCTTCCCGCTCCCTGTGCGCCGGCGGCCTCGGAGGCCATGGTCAGCCCGAGGTTTTAAGAGAACACAAGGGAGGAGGTTATCGTGAGCATCAGCTCATTTGAAGCATATGGAGTGAGGTTCGTGCCAAGCTCCTGTTGGTCAGGGACGATCCTTGCAGGGGACGCGCTCCGAGCAACATGAGGAAGGAGTGCGGCCGAGGCCCAGCCTCACTCTGACTGTGGGAGCTGAAGTCAATTAGGACAGTGACAGCAGAATCTTGACAGTTGTGGCCTGTGAGGTCAATCCCGTTCTCTCTCGCCATCTCTCATGAGTGCACACATGCTCACACGCACGCACACACACACACTCACACTCATACACACATGCACACACACTCACACACACACGCGCACACACACACTCTCACACACGCACACCCACACCCCCCCACACACACACACTCACACACGCGCACACACACACACACACACACACACGCATCACACACACACACTCACCCACACACGCACACACCCCCAAACACATGCACTCACATACACTCACACCACGCACACCACACTCACACGCACTCACACCCACACACACACCCAACTCACACGCACTCACACACACACACAAAATCACACACACACACACCCAAACTCACACGCACTCACACGCACACTCACGCACACACACTCTCTCTCACACACACACACACACACGCACACACACACACACCCTAGGAACCTGAAATCTAAAACGGCATTTTGTTTCCATATTGAGCCATCTCAGTAATATGCCCTCAAAGGGGCTCAGAAAATCCGTGCTGACTTGCCCACTCAGCGTCTGACCTGTGGGCCGGGCCAGCTCTCCCTCAGACCCTCCCAGGACCGCTGTCTCACTACCCACTTCTGCCGGCTCCTGCTGACCCTCTGGGTGTCCAGCCTTAGATTTCAGCTCGCTTCCTAACTCAGCACAATCCTCCGGCCTCGGTTTCTCCAAAGTTTTGGGGAAGAGGTTCCTCCTCTGGGACCCACCCAGACCAGGCCGAACCCAAGCCCTGAGCGAAGAAGCATTCCTTTGAGACCCGTTTTCACAGCGGCCCCCAGGGGGTTCAGCATTCCCTCCTGCTCCCCTCACACGCAACTGCAAGCCTGTCAGAGCCGCATCCCAGGCCCGGGTGCGGAGAAGGTGGCCAGCACACACGCATGGTCAGCGAGTTCCCAAAGGGAAGCCTCCAGAAGGCGTCAGGGGGAAGGTAACTCAGGGGAACAGAGCTGAGGTGGTGGGAAGGAGCTGCTGGGGAGGAAGACCGCCGGCTGCCAGGAGCTGCTGCGGGGGAGGCCGCTGGCCTCTTACCCAACCCCCATCTCAGCCCATGGACCTCCATCCCAGCCCACAGTTAGATGGTTCGAGCCTAAAAAGGCAAAAGTGTGAGTCAGTTGTTGCCTTGTTTCCTGGGCCCAGCTTGCCAAATTCCTGCCAAATTCCTTCTCCTCCTCTTCCTCGCCCCCTCATTCTCCTCTCTCTGCCACCTCCTGACTCAAACTCCCCAACTTGTCTCAAAGTCCCCTCAGCTCAACACACTGCCTTTTTGTTCCCCCGGGGAGCTCTCCCGGGACCTTCTGACACAGAGCCAGGGACACCTTGGCTTGGTTGCCAGGAAAGCCTTGGGGTTTACAAGGTCATGACCTGGGAGCTGCTTCCTCTCTTTTTCCTTCCTCTAATCCCCACCCTCATCCCCGCTAGTGGGGACTCTCGCTGCACACACTGTCTGCAGGAGAACGTGGGGAGGGCTGGACGAGGTGGGGTGAACAGAGCACCCGCCATTCCAGCTGCTGCTTGGGGGGCGGGGGTTGCTGTGCGGGAGAGGAAGGTGAGGCCAGAGCAGAGCTGAAGGTGACAGGGAATACACTGCCCCGGGTGGCTGATGTCTTTGGGTTCCCTCAGAAGATGGTAAAGGGGAGCCTGGAACCCCACCTCCTTTACATCCACACCAGCTGCCGGACACTGAGCAAGTCTCTTAACCCCGTTTCCTCAAGAAATCTACTGCTGCATCAGGGGAGGCTGAAGGAATAAAACGAGATCAAAAGAGATGCCTAGTGGAGGATGCAAAAATCACACAGAACTAGGAATTCCATCCCTCTCCCCACACACACGGGTGGTGTCCAAT